AATAAATTAATAATAATTGGCAGCTCTATGCACCTTTATGATGCGCAATTCAGCTTATATGAACTAGACGCTGACTAGTACATCATAACCGTATTGGTACATTTTTGTTTTTCAAAAAAATGGTTTTCATTTCCGCTAAAATATATGCAACGCCAAAGCTCATCTCATATACGGTCTGAACAGTTAAGTATTATATACTTGTTAAAATTAAGAACTAGAGAATGATTAACGAATATCATTAATTTTATTACAAAATGTCAGTGGTAAGAATATACAAAATTCAGTATGAATGAAATGTCAAACTCAATACTGCAAAAAAAATTGCAATTTCTATAATATACAAGTAGCAAACTAAGCGAGTATCTACATTCGAATTTATATTTAATAAATGTATATACTAAAATTGTATACGAGCATGGACGGATTCGCGATCATTAAACGAGAGGAAAAAAAAGGAAAAGTAATAAAGTTGGGTCAAACCAATGGTTTGTATTGTAGCACTTTTCCCTTCAGCAAGTGAAAATTCTGCTTTTAAATACAGTCTATGTATACCTATCACACATTCTAAAAATTATTTTCATTCATATACAAAACTCTTTCTAGGATTGCATATATTTAGGATGACGCATATATGCAGTGTTTGAAATAAAGCAAAAATTAATATAAAAAGGGATTAACATAATGCTCGATTTTAAGGGTTAATTGTGTGAGTTAAGAAAAATAATTATATTTTTTAATGTCATGGATTTTACCGTTAGCTTTTTGTGTTTATAGAAATTTGAAAAAGCTTGCGGTTTCGGAAATATAAGGTGTCAAAAATTCAAATTTTACAAATTTCAAGAGGCAACAACTTGAGAGGGGAAGGAGATGGAAAAAAATTTTCTTCCAACGAAATAAATTATTTATTAAGGTCTAAAAGCCCCTAAAGTTTCAATCTTCTACAGACTAGGATCTAGAAGAAAAACGAGATCAAAAATTTGGAAAAAACGGACTTTAGATAACGGTAAATTTGAGCGGCCATTTTGTTTTTCTAAAGTTAACCTTTAGTATACCCCGCTAGGGGAAGCATGCCACTGCCTTTCTGCGTTTGCTAAATTTGAAAAATCCTTATGGTTTCATTGCACTAAATAGTTAAAGAATGCATTTTTAGGGTTTCGGGGGGGTATAATTTCTAAAGGGGGGGAGATAGATAAAAATTTTGTTCTACGAAAATAAGTTTCTAGTAAAACTCTATGTACGTACAAAATTTCAGCTTTCTATCTTCAAGGGTGTAGAAGTTTTGTAAACAGACACACGGACAGACGGACGGACGGACGGACGGACAGAGTGAAACTAATAAGCACTTTTTTTCAAAATTTTTTTGGAAAAGTGCTAAAAAGAAACAAATTCTTATACTGACGAGAGATAAATTGATTGTTATTAAGATTAGATTTACGGGTATGGCAGGTAAAGGACGTTAACAAAATTTTTTTTTTGTTTTACAATATTTAAAGTATATTTTGTTTTTTATTTCATGTTCGTATGCATTTATCTATCTTATACTCATAAATAGCTTTCAAAAAATACTGTTTCAAGCCCAAATGATGTGATGTTAAAGGTGGCAAAAAGCAAAAAAAAACAAAAACAAAAATACATAGGTAACAGTCTTATACTTAAAATTTTAGTTGTTCTTTTCAATTTTTATTGTTATTTTTCTAGGTGAGCTCATACTTTTTGATGTAAGTATATACTTTATTTCTGTAATTTTTATTTGAAAGCTATTCATGTACAAATGTGTGTAAATTTGTAACTGAGTAAATCACATTTGTATGTGTACATACACATAATTTGATTGCGTCGTTTAACACTGTTATTGTCAAAATTGCTTATATTTAGGAGTTTGGGCTGCTGTATATTGTTATACTATTAAAATTTACATATATTATTTACACTAAATAAATCAAGTTGAAGTCGATTTTGCATTTTTGAACCATTGTTTATTTTGAACAAATTTGTAAGAAAGTGTGGATGTCAAAGGTAACTTATTGTTTCTAGGTACATATGTATGTATGTTTAAAACGGATTGTAGCTGGAATGTTTATTAACACAATATTGAACTCATTTATGGTTTGAAATCTACAATTGGAACATCAGGGCTAGTTACAACACTTGTAAGCTCTCATAAAAAATAATAATAAACAATTTTTTGTAAAATCAAAATTAAAAATTGAATTGAAAAATTTTAGATTATTTGCTATTGGGCCCCGCGAGGCTCCGCAAATATCAAATCCGTTTTTGCTGTTTTGTTTTTTATTTTAGTGATGGTTAATAAAGTTGCTATGTTGTGTTCAAAAATATTAACAAAATTATTTTACTATTTTTGATATTAAATTTTTTTTTTCGATTTGAAAAATTTGGAAACCAATATTGTTAAATTTTTTTCTCAGGTGGAAATATTCACACATCTATGTATATACACAATCATACAATTATACACCTGCATAATTGTGTGGCAACAAAGTAAAACTACTAATCAGACAGAATTAGAAATTTCGAGTAAATTAAGTTGAAAAATTTTTAGATTGTTTGTGGGAAAATTGTTCTTAGAACTGCTCAATGAACTCTGCAATACAATTTAAAATATAGTTTAAAATTAAGTTTATACAATTTTTGGTCAAATTTTTTAATTTGACTTGAACATCTCAAAATTTACTGAATTGAACGGTAAGTTTGTTAAATTTGAATTTAAAAAATTTCTGGTAAAATTAAAATTTTCTTGCTCAGTTGAATTACATAAATAGTTTTGTCTTATTGCCACAGAAATAATAAAATTTTAATAACATTACGTATACATATATTATGGGAATTAATAGCTCGTTATGTAAGTATAATAATAATGGTTAGTTGAAAGTACATTATATTTATACACAATATATGTATATATAATATACATACATACATATGTATATTGTAAAAAGTTATAATGTTAAACTGTTCTGCACTATAATAGAGGTGATCTTTTCAGTCGCTTATTTCTTTTTTTAATTTTTCTCTTTGCTATTGAAAAATATTTCATTTTATACATATATAGAGCTACATAAATGACTGTATATATGTATATTCCAAAATACAAAAACAAAAATAATAGTAAAATGCAGAAGCATAATAGTAAAATATATAGAAGCGTTATTGGTACAATGTACGTGGTGCTATGTATGAATTTAAAGTCTTGCATAGCACTAAATCTTGTTAAATTTGTAATTTCAAATATCTAGAGAGAGAGAGATGGATGGGCTTGGTTAAATTTTTATTTTTCATTTATTTATTTACTTCTTTAATTTTATTATTTTATTTCGTTTTTATTTTATGTTATATATGAAAAAAACGTGCATCTTATTATATTCTCATTAGCTCTATGGTTGATATTAAACATTTTAACATTTGCAATCACAAAATGAGATTAATTAGGAATAAGGATGTTACCTATTTTTACAAAATGTTGCTACATACATATTGTTTATGCATAAATTTAAGTTTCTAATCTCATTTTAATTGCCCATTGCAATTAAAAATAAAATATTATTGCGTTTAGGTTTAAGGTAACCAAAAATTCGCTTAACTAATGATTTGCTTTATAGAATTTTTATTTTCATATTCGACAAAATAAATTCCAATTCCAGCTATTTACATTATCATTGCTTTGGGAATAAAAGAGTTTTTGAAATTGCAAATGGTCTTAGGTCAGTTTAAAAATAAACCATTCATATAATGGAATGCGTCAGAGGAAATTTTGTTAGATTCCCTTATTAACTATATTATAAAGAGTGAGTAAATTAGTAGTGTTATAAATAATAGTGTCTTATTAACATATAAAGTAATTTTAAAATACAAAAAAAAATAATAGTAGGTATTTATTTTTTCCCATGAATCAAGAACCAATTTCTAGCATATCATTTTTTTTTCAAATAATCTTAATTTCCAATTACATGATAATATTAATCACATTTATAATTAATTATTTGTTTCAAAAGCTCTTTCAAATCAATATTTAAAATATTATTCTTTCTTTCTTAGAACAGAAAACTCCTGATCCCATAAATTTGCTTAAAAATAACAAGTTATTAATTACAAAAAAAAAAAACCAAAATTGCATCTTAAATCAATCAATTAAAATTAGAAATAACTATTAGTATATGAGTTAGTAAATGTGTTAAAAAAATATGTATATATATATATGTTAGTTTTAATATAATTAAATGATTTGTTGTAAGTTTGCAATTACATAGAGTGTGCAAGTATGTATATAAATATTTAATTACTGGTACATATGTACATACATACAAATAATTAATATATTATATCTAGAGAAACATATTTAAATTCTAATTAACTCAAACCTGTATTTTTTTTTTAAATTTTGAATTTAAATAGAATTATTCAATAAATTTCACTATAATGATTTTAACATTTTCTGCATTATTAATTAGATTTTTCACATAAAATACCTAATTCATACATACATATTATTATTTTATATAATTGTCTGTATGTACTTAGATTATAAACCTGATTATTGCAGCAATTCAATAAAAACAATAAATCGGTTCCGTCTTGCAAAATATATTTAATAATAAAATAAATTATTAATTTTTGGTGTAAAAAAACTTAAGTGATTTGGAAAAGAAGAAAGCTAAATGTATGCCTTTTATCGCTTTTAATCAATTTAGCAGTTGATTCCTTATTCAGTAAATTAAAGTATTCCTTGGTCAGTAATAAATATTATTAATACAAATTTGTAATTTCTGAAGTGTTATGAATAATGTAAACGCAAAATAGAACACCTATCAGCATTTAATTCAAACGAGAATTGAGACACCAATCAGTGGTTAATTCAAATGCTAAATGAGACACCAATCAGTATCTAATTCAAATTCGAATTGAATTACGCACTGTTTGGTACTTCATTTTACATCGTACATTGCGTTCAATTAAATGACAAAGTGCATAATTTGAGATTTATTAAAAAAATTACAAACTAAGGATTCTAAACATTTTTCTTTAATATGTATACTATAATATTTCAGGTGTTTAATTACATAAATATGAAACCTAAATAACAATTCCGTATTATTTTTATAAAATATTCTGTTTTAATTTAATATTATATTCAATGTATAAATTATATTTTATGTATATCATACGATTTGCTTAAATTAAAAATAATAATAAAACAAAATAAAAGTACCCAGTTATTTGGGTCCAGTTGATTGCTTATAAATAACACCAGTAAGTCCACCGTATTTATGTATTAAACAAGTTCTATAAAAAAATATTTAATTTTTTTAAAAATTTATGACATTTTTGAGTTATAATACATATATATTATCTAAAGAACATTAAAAATTTTATTACTTATTTCCATAATCTAAAGAAATAACTGGTGGATTAGCGTTTGGTTCTAATTTACAAGCTTGCTCTGAGATAGCGATTGCAATTCCAGCTGCTTTTGTTGATATATTACCTTTTGCTAAAAATTATTTAAAATAATTTTAATAATTCATTAAAGTTTTATGAGATTGATGGATTACCACTTAAACATAATCCCTGTTTATCAGCAAAAAGACACCCAATTGTATTCGGAGTTGAAATTCTATAAAGGTATATTATATTAAAAAAAAATTGTTTATTTTAAAATTTATAAAAGATTATTACATTTCATTTATGGTTTTATCTAAAGTTTGTTCCATTCTGTTATTGGAAATTCTTATTTAAAATTTACAAATATGTATGTGTTTTTTTATGTTACAAGAAAATTTTATTTTATTAATCTAAAATGAATTGATTTCGAAATATAAATAAATCAATGTCAGAAAAAGAGAGTCAGCTGACATTGAAAATGAAATCACAGTGTTGACGCATTTCAATTTTTGGCAAATTTCAAAAGTTTTTTGTTGAACTAGGTTACTATATTCTTACTGTATAATAACTAGAATAATTAAAAATTTTAATAAAATTCACTATTAATATCTGACACAGAAATTTTATTTCTTCTTGATTTTGCTATGAGAAATCGAATGAAAATTGCATAAACGCATTCATAAAAAATTTATGGACATCTCAAATTCACATTTAGTTTATTTTTTTGCCAGTTGGTAGCCTTGCAAATGTTTACTACAAAGTTTTTATTTTGACAACTGACATTTTTTGTATGTGTCACACATATTGACATTTTTGACATTTAACATCCCAGCACACGTCACCGAAAATCCGAAATCTTCGTAAGGAATTTTTTGGATTTATAAGTTTTTTGATTATATTTAAAAATTTGGAAAATTTAGAATCAAATTTCAATCTAATTTTGTATTTAAAATGGTAAGCTTTTTATAATGTGAAACTTGTAATAAATATGTTAATGTTATTAAATAATATTTTCAGGTTCTTATCGCGTCAGCAGTATGTACCAAAAGCGGCAAAGGTAAATAAAAGAAAACGCATGTTATAATTAAATTTCTTATTAAAAAATTTGCTTAGTAATAATTTCAAGGCAATTTGTTGAAATGACCAAAGCAAGAATTGAAGGTCTGTTAGCTGCTTTTCCAAAGTTGATGACAACTGGAAAACAGCACACATTTGTTGAGACGGATTCAGTGCGTTATGTCTATCAACCGATGGAAAAATTGTATATGTTACTTATTACAACAAAAGCTAGTAACATTTTAGAAGATTTGGAAACTTTACGTTTATTTTCTAAAGTTGTTAGTATTTTTCGCCTTTTTTTATTTTGAAGCTATAATTAGATAACTAAGTCTTATTGTAAACAAAAATTTATCTTTTTAGATACCAGAGTATTGCCACTCACTAGAAGAAAAAGAAATAGTAGAAAATGCATTCAATTTAATATTTGCTTTTGATGAAATTGTTGCATTAGGTTATCGAGAAAGTGTTAATTTAGCACAAATTAAAACTTTCGTTGAAATGGATTCGCACGAAGAAAAAGTTTATCAAGCGGTTCGACAATCACAAGAAAGGGAAGCAAAACAAAAAATGAGAGAAAAAGCAAAAGAATTGCAAAGGCAACGAATGGAAGCAGCAAAACGTGGTGGAGGTATTGGAAATTCTGGGTCGAAACGTGGTTACTATGGTTTCGGTGATGGTTTTGGTTCTTCAGGTGGAATCAGTAATACAACAGCAATTACTACCCCATCGATCGATGTATCTAGTAACGATATAAAGCCAACAGTTAATCCAACGTAACTAAAATAAATTTCAAAATAAAATAAAATGTAATTCGAAACACAAAAATAATATAATTTTAGTAAACCGGCATCTAAGAATGCTTTGAAACTTGGCGGAAAATCTAAAGATGTGGATACTTTTGTAGATCAACTTAAAAGTGAAGGTGAAAAGATTTCTAATCTAACTCCAGCTTCAGTTACTCCTAGTGCTGTATCAAAACCGAAAATCGCTTCTGACGTTCATACGGAAAGGTAATATCTAATTAATAGTCATTAATTAATATCTTAAAAGAAAAATTTAAAAACTTTTGTAGTGTTCATTTGAAAATGGAAGATAAAATTGTGGTTCGGCTCGGTCGTGACGGAGGTCTACAAACGTTTGAATTATCTGGTTTGTTAACATTAAGAATTTCTGACGAAAAATTCGGAAAAATTAAAGTAGCGTTAGAAAATAACGATACTCGTGGAATTCAATTACAAACACATCCCAACGTTGATAAAGAATTGTTTAAGTCGAAATGTTGTATTGGTCTTAAAAATCCCGCAAAACCTTTCCCATTAAACACTGACGTGGGTGTCCTTAAATGGAGGTATCAAACTCAAGATGATTCAGCTGTACCACTTACAAGTAATTTAGTTGAAAAAAAAATTTTATTCTAAAGAAATAATTAATTTAATTTTTATTTTAGTTAATTGTTGGCCATCTGAAAATGGAGATGGTGGGTGTGATGTTAATATTGAATATGAATTAGAATGTCAAAGATTAGAATTGCAAGATGTTTGTATAACAATTCCGTTACCGTAAGTATATTTTTATATTAATTTTTGAATTTTTTTAAATTAATGCAAATTCGTTGTTATTTATAATTGTTTTTTGCTTTCTTTAGAATGTCAGTACATCCAAATGTTGGCGAATGTGATGGAACATATACTTTTGATTCCAGAAAACATAATTTACAATGGAATTTGCCTATAATTGATGCTTCAAATAAAGCTGGATCTTTAGAATTTAGTTGTGCATCTTCAATTCCAGGAGATTTCTTCCCATTGCAGGTACTTTATCTTCACTTAAGTAACATTAATATTAATATTTTAAACTATCAGCGCTAGTATTTTAAGCAAATTTTGATTTTTTTTATTGATTTAATTATTTGTTTACATATTTTAAGGTATCATTTGTTTCAAAAACGCCATATGCTGATTTGAAAGCAAAAGAAGTTATTGCACTTGAAGATGAAACACCAGTTAAATTCTCTAAAGAAACATTCCTTTTTGTTGATAAATATGAAATAGTTTAAAAAATAATTTAAAATTAAAATTGATAAACTATTATCAACAATATAGTTCTTATAAAAAAAAAACATTTAATAAAAAAAGCAAGGAAAAAAAAAATATTTACTTCCCCTTTTTGAAGTGTTAAAACAAAAAAAAAAAATTTAGGTGAAATAGAAAGAAATGACCATTTTATGTACGTACATAATTATATATTAATACAATGTAAAAACAAAATGTATTTTTTGTTTACAAAATTATTTGCATTAAAATATTTGTTTAATTTACGATTTATGATTTATTCGCAATAAAGTTATATAAATTCTAATAAAATCTCTTTTCATACACTAGCAAGAATTCAAATTGTGTAGGTCCAACAGTAGTATAGAAGAAGAATTAGGATAATTGGAATGCTTAATACCTCAATATAGAAAAACAAGTTGACTATTTAAAATTTGATTTGGTTTTGTATAATTTCAATGAATTTTTCGGTTTAAATATAAATTAAATTAATCAAATTGTAAAATAATTTACACATGAAAGCCTTTAAATGATATTTCTTCAGCTCCAGCAACTGTCAATAATATTCAATTAGATATTTTAAACACATTGGATAATTTCCTTGAATATTTAGCTTAATTAAAAATATCTTTTTAATTTATTCAATTCTATATATTATTTAAAAATATGTAAATCAAATTGATTCTGTATGTTAATTTACAAAATTAATTTATTTACGAAAATAAAAAAAAAAAATTTCAATTCTATATATTGTAGATCTGACATTAAAATAAAATTTTTCGATTATTTAAATATCGATTCAATACAATTTTTCTGTTTTTTATATTGACATTTTGTGACAATTTATTTTTTTTCTCTTTTTCACTTATTCTGATTATTTTGATTTTGTTTCTTTTTATTTGACATAAATACAGGCAGGAAATGTCATTTGTGTGGAATTTGTGAATTAATACGGTTGGTGTAGTTTCTTTTTTATCTAAAATATTTTAAACGTTCTTCCGTCGGATTCGGAGATATTTTTTATTACTTTTTGTTTTCCTTATTATTATTATTATTTAAATTTGATGGAATTTTAAGAAGAATAATATGTCTATTTAATTATAATAAGAAAGAAAAGAATAGAAAAAAATAAACTATTCTAATTGTGACTTAAATAATATTTTATTTTTTTTTGAAATTAAAAAAAGTAATTTTAAAATTTAAGAAAGAAATTTAAAGATAAGGAAATTTTTGAAATTATTTTTTTTTTTTTGGGAGAAGTGTAAAATAAATGAAAGAATTGTAAAAAAAAAAAAATTATTTTCCTGTTTTTATTATTATTTTTTTTAATTTTAACTTTGTTTTTTTATTCCCGTAAAATGATTAAGTTATAAATGTACAAACAAATATGATATTGGGCTTTGTTAGTGTGTTGTGATTCTATAAACATACAAAGTGTTTGACCATTTATGTAAAACAGCAAAATTAAATAATAATAATAATAAAAAAAAACTAAATAATCTACAAAACAAGAGAGAGAAATACAAAAAAAAAAAAAAAATAACAAAACAAAGCCTCACCCTATATCGTACTCTTACATAGCGCAAAGAATAAACATTTTGGCATATCCGTCTATGGTTTATCCAAAAAGAATTTAATTTATTTCTAATATAAAATGGAATAAATATATAACCATATATATATATATATATGTAAAATGTATATATATGGACATAATATATTGTTGTCTAAATAAATATAATATAGAAACAATAATAATAATAATAATAATAAAAATTTTGCCTACAATTATTTAAAATTAAAAATTATTTTAATAAAATTTTTTCTTCTGTAATTATTTATGGCTTAGGCCTTATTTATATCCAGTAGAATTATATTAATAATTATGTATATATTATTTGAATATATTTGTATGTAATATGTGAATAAACATACAACTTCATACATGATATTTAAATGAATATTAATTTTTTTTGTAATTTGTTATATTTGAAACAATTTAAATAAATAAAATTACATATTGTTTGTATGTACGTAATATATGAAGTGTATTTATTGAGACAAAGCTTAAAATTTCTTTTAATTTCTCAATTAATTTTAGTAGATACCAATTTGAAATATGCCATTTATTTAAAACTGCCTACTACATAAATTAACTAGATATAACAGATTATTTTATATAAAAATTTTTTTTTTTAAATATTACAGAAATTAATCATAAATGTTTATATAAAGTGATGTTTAAATAAAATATAAATTCTACTTGGAGACACAAAACAAAAAAAAAATAATCAACAATTAAAAAAAAAATTCTATTTTTTTTTTTTTTTGTTTCATATGAAATACAATCCAATACAATTTAAAAGAATAATAAAAATAAACAATAAAAAAAAAAAACACAAGTGACAAGAAACAAGTAGAAGAAAAATAAGAATAAACAAAAAAAAACAAAAATGGCTATGTCAGAAAATCTATGGCGGGAATGTTCTGCCTGGTTAACGCGATGTAAAATTTTAGCACCAGATCATAAAGCTAATTGGAAAACATCTGAAATACGTGTTTTAGCATTAACATTACGTGATGGTGTATTATTATGTAATTTATTAACATTTTTAGATCCAGAATCAATTGATCCAAGAGATATACATAAGAAACCACAAATGGCACAGGTATGTAAAAATGAAAAAAGAATTTTCTTATTTTCAAAAATAAATTTGTTTACATTCATATTCTAATTCAAATAATATTCAGATGAATGCATATTGGCCTATTTCAGTATAGTCATTTTCTAATCAGAATTTATTTTAATTTTAGGTGATTTTTGAATTTATTTGAAGCTGACTTGTTTTTAGTTCAATAATGAGAAGAAAATAATTGTTTATATTTTATGAATTAAAAGTGCCCACTTAGGTGACTATGGCTTGATACGATCTGGTGATTTTCGTATTACGTTCATATTCACAATTAAATATTTAGTATTTGATTAGGAATTATAATTTCACATTATTTATTCAAATAATTTCTTACAGTGAACAATTTTTTATACTTAAATGAATAGAAGTACGTCCTCATAGTATATATGATTGTACTTTTAAGTAAATGGGTAAATTATCTATACATATTATCTATATATTGTAAAAATATATCATGTTATTAATGTTTTTATTTAACATTTTAAAAAATAATGAATACCTAACTTGATTTTTCCAATTTTAGAATGAATGTCAAATACTTATTTAAAAAAAAAATAGCACTCAACAAATTTCAATTTTTATATTATTAGTGTATAGACTAAATTATGGCTAGCAAATTTAAAATTACAAATAAAAATTCAATTTTAACATGTTATAGTTTGATTAGAATTCATAATATTTGAATAAACTCAAAGATGCAACATTTGTTATTAAAGCAAATGGACGTAAAATTACATGTAATTGTAAAAGCAATAATATTATATTTTATGTAAATAAGAAGTAAGCCTAAATATATTGTACATGCATATACATATAATTTAATTATAACAAGTAAATTCTTATCGTACAACAACTTTTTACTTATTTAATGATAAAAATTCAACAAAAAAAAAAAATTATACTTATATGTAAGGGAAAGAAAATATTTTAATGCAAATGAAGAAGAAAATTTTTTATTTTCTGAAGATAAAAAACAAGTTCACACTAAGAGTTTTTGATAATATTCTGTAAATTTTTAAAAAATTTTTCATATTTAATTCATAATTATTCTGTAATTATTTTATAAAATGCTTCTTTAGCTTTTATTTTAGCTCATTACCTATGATAGTTAAAGAAATTCTTCTTAGCTATTTTCAAAATCTTAATTTTAGTAAAATTATCGTAAGTACTTATGTAATTATTTAAACTGAGTAGGTAATATGTAGATAATAATAATTGGTCACTGAAAGTGTTGCATAAGAACTGTAATTGTAAAATGTTTTCATTTATAACAGTTTAATTCTGAATATTAAAAAATTAAAATGTAAATTTTTAAAACAAGTTAAGTAGAACCTGCTTACATACTAGTTACAGACGTTTCATTTTAATGTATAATTCAAAAGTGTATTAAACACACTTTTTAAAAGAAAGTGGTTTTTGACTTGAAAGCAACAGGTTTATTTTATAAAACAAATTTAGTTGTAATAAAGCATATGAAGCACCTACAATTTTTTGTATGTAATACAAAATAATTAATTATTTATTAAAATTAACCTTTATTACTCGCATCACATACAATGAATTTATTAAAATAATGAATCAAAACTTGTTGCATTTAATCTTTTTTAAAAAAAAAAATTAGTATAGAATTATTAGATAACCTTAATTTGTAAATATACACGAGCTAGACATACTTAGTTGAATAACTATCCCTTGAACAAAATTGTTATACTTTGGTAAAATAAATAAATTATATTAAGTAATATAAATACGATACTTAGTATAATAATAATAAAATAATTACGATATTGAGTAACAGTTAATACGATATTGAGTAACTAAAATTTTTCTGAGTATGACTATTTAATAACATTATTTTAGCGGGAAAAATTCTATTATTTCTCATGTATATTCGAAAATTTAATTACTTTTAGAAATAATTACAATTACTTACATGGGAAATTCATTGAATAAATTTGTGAGAATGAAAAAACGAATTTTTGGTACTCATTTTATTAAGTTACTAATCTTATTTCTTTATATTGTTCTTATATAATGTATGCAACGACCAGACAATTTTAAATTCAATTTTTAAAATAAATTTTCATTTCCAAATTATTCTTAATGGTTTATCTATATATTTTTTACAAAAATAATTATTAGAACCCTTTTGTTTCCATTGAAATATTAAAAATGACCTTGATTTTTTTTTTTATTCTTATTAAGTACTTATCAAAAATTATTTTAGTAACCTAAAAATATTGAATACTTAATTTCTTAAGTAAGTACACAAGATGTAAGTTATTGGTATTTTGTTATTTTTATTTTTTTTTTTACTTGTGTATCCTTAAAAATTTTATTAATTGATCCTTAAAAACATGGCTATTTTCGTTATTCTTTGAATTTCAAATTTTTATTTTGGAATCATTTATTTTTAGAATTATTCACTTTAAATTGTCCAAGTGTAGGTTTCATTTAAAAGCGTAGTATTCAATTTTTTTTATTTCTTAATTAAGAAATTCAAAATTATTTAATTAGGTATACAAGTTCTTCTTTACAATTTCTAAATTTTCGTTTTCGGTTTACTAAATTCCATTTATTTTTGATTTCGTAATATAATGCTGCTATGTGTTTCAAGTGGTCTAATCAATAAAATATTTATTCTTGATAAAGAATTTCTCTTTTTTGTAATTCGTAAATCTATTTATAGTTTATTGATTTTTGTGAAATTTTACCATAATCTTTTTTTTTCTTTGCTGTGGCTATCTATATAGGTAAATATTAAAAGCTGATAAGAAAAAATTTCTTCTAATTTGATATGAAAAAATCAATTTCAAAAATGAGTAATTGTTATTACAAAAGTAATTTATTTAAATGTTGATAAGTAACTAAGTATTGTATTTACTTATATATTGTGTGGGTACTTGAAATTTTAGGTACTTAAGTATTTATCTATTAAGTTGTTGTTGTGGAAAAGTGAATTTAATGTTACAAAATATTGAAATTTTAGCTGATAATTGATTTTGTATATTTAAATTAGTAAAAGAATACAGAAAAAGAAAACTTTGTCAATGAAAAATTAAAAAAAAATTGATGTAAATACTTGCCGCAAACTAGACATTGTAGAAGTTTCTTAATTAATATTATTAAAAATAGAAAATGAATTTTTGATTTTAATATTAATAACCGAATATTGATGGTATTTTTATGGTATGTTTTGTATAAATAAATCAGCTGTTTATGATCCAGTGTTTATTGTATTTCTGCGTATCTTAAGTATTTTCGTAATGATAGGGTAAATTAATCATTCCGCTGCAAGCTTAAGTAATAATACTTTCAGAAATAGACATAAATTCAAAATTTAATCCAGTTCAGCTCAGTTATGTAATAAGCTAACACTAGATTTCTCCAGAACTATGGAATGAGAAGTGTAATTGCACCTTTTAAATTGAACCATGACTCAGGAAAGCAACTATACTTATTAGGATTGGGATCACCAATAATTCTTCTAAATGAGTTTTGTAGTACTTATGGTCAAAACAATAATTACTGAAACTATTCAATTTATAATAACAAAATTTCGCAAAAGCGAATTAAGCAACAATTTTGTATATGTAATTAAAATTGTATAAGTTCTTATAGAATTTGCATTTATTTGTAATTTCTGCAAATTTGCAGAATAATTTAATTTAATATCAGAAATAGTGTTAAAAATTCGAGGTCTAGATTACAAAAAATTGACAAAAATGATTTCAAGAATAAAATTACAATTCAAATTTAGTTGGAAATTTTAACTCCTATTTGTGTTCAGTTCATTTTCATATTCAGCCTAATGAAATTACAATTTAATTGTGCTATTAATTCTTATTAATTAATTTAAAATGTTTTTCATTTACAATATTCTTAACTTTAAATAACACTTAGTTAAATAACACAATTTCCTGCCAAATAAAATATTAATTATAACTAAATATAAGTAAGTACAAAGTACCTACTTATAATTAATTATAAATAACAGTTAATTCGAAAGTTTTTTTTTTGTTTCATTTAAGTATTTTATTCTTGTCCATTTCGTTATAAGTTTTTTTTGTATTGAAATATTTTGCATTTAAGTATCGAATTGAATAAATATTTGCAAGTTTTTAACGTTACTATATTTGTGAAAATATTAATAATTACTTAAGTATTTATTTGTTTTTTTTTTTTTTTTAAGTTTATTTGTATATAAGTACTTTGTACTTATATAGAAAGAAAAATGACTAATAGAGGCTAGCAATTATAATTTGTAGACAATATTATTATTATTTTTATTCATCTATTGTCTTTATAATGTTTTGATTTAGAAAGAAATTGAATAGTTATTAAGTAATTGGGGAATAATTTAATTAAATGTAAAAATAATTTAATATTATAAGTACTTAGTTATATAGTTACATTACAATGTGAATAATGTGCTCGTATCAATGACCCAATTTCGATTATCCGCTTAGAATCATTTATAATTTATAGAATAATGTCATTTTAAAACCAACTAACGTACTTATATAACAACGTCATACAATCTGATATGTTGGAATTACATTTGTGCTACCACATTATGTGAACAATTTTAATAATTCTCCCATTTATATTGCAATTTGTTATTTGAAAAGTTTATCTCGTGTTAGAAAATTCTTAAAAATCTACTTAATACTCAATTTTTATTTCAATCTTTAAAAATAATTTCAATTTTGTGGCAATATTAAACAATTTATTTCTAAAGTGCCTACTGAATTTTTTTTAATTTTTTTGGAAATCTTAATTATAATTTGATACTGTCTATACAATATTCACATAATATAAGATTATGATGATTTTTTCTTTGTTCTTTTTAAATTAAAATAAACATTTTATGAATCAAAGAATTTTAATATTAACATTCTTTATATTAATTGTTTGAGAATTTTGTTAAATTTTAAAATGTTTAACCCTATACAGCTATAAAGCTTATTTTTGTC